TTTACTTTTAGAGTATTCTTTTTTAAGAAATATATTTCTATAGTAATTTCTTTTAAGAGTTTTATTTCAAAATGATTTCTATTAAGAAATTTACTTTTAGAGTAATTTTTATAAAGAAATTTACTTTTGAAGCAATTTCTATTAAAAAATTCACTTCATAGTAATTTCTTTTAAGAATTTCATTTCTAAAGTGAGTTCTATTAAGAATTTTACTTTCAGAGTGAGTTTTATTAAGAAATTTACTTCTGGAGCAAATTTATTTAAAATTTTACTTCTTGAATATTATTTTTAAAGTAAAATACTTCTACTGTAATATATCTTTAAAAAAATATACTTCTGAAGCATTATTTTTAAAGTAAATTACTTGTACTATAATGTATTTTTAAAAGAACATGCTTTCAGAATATTATTTTCAAAGTAAAATGCTTCTGGAGTATTATCTTCAAAATAAAACACTTCTAGAGTATTAATTCAAAGAAAATCTCTTTTGTGGTGTATCTTTGAAGGATATGTTTTCAAATCATTATCTTTGAAGAAAAATGCTTCTGAGATGTTTATTAAATGTGAATTAACTTATAGATAGAGTAGAATACAAAATTTATATTTATTTAAGTTATATAATGAATTAAATTTTATTTATTTGCAAAAAAAATAATTAAAAAAATTAAATAATCTTAAAAATAATAAAAATAAATATAAAGCATAAACAAAAATGAATACATATAAAAAAAATAAATTACACTAAAGTATTATTTTTAAAAATAAATTTTATTCTTACTTTTTAAAATAAATCTGATTTTAACTATCCTTTAAGTCATACGCATTTATAAATTGTTTTACCTTTTAAACTGCATCTTTTTTATATTACCAAATCTATTCCACCTGAAAAATTCTTTCTATAGGTGTACTTATAACTAAAAAATAATAATTACAATAAATTTTTAATAGTAATTATAATTTATAAAATAATTACAATTATAATATTTATATTAATCTGGAATAGCTAAATAATCTTTAGCCATTTTTAAAAAGATTTAGATATTCTCTTTTATGAAGCTTTATAATAATTTAATAAGTTAAAAAAAGAAATTTATTATTATAATAAATATTTTTTTATAATACTGTTAACATGTAATTCTTGCGAATTACAGCTGTTAGACAGAATGTTAAAATGTTATTTCTTTTTAATTGCACAGTAATCTTAATGCTTTACAAGTTTATTATTACGATTAAACTTAGATAAAAAGGTTTATATGAGTGTTTCACAAATAATAAATCATAGTGTATCAAGTAATTATATTTCAAAGTAAAAATGTTTATTAATAAGATAAGAAAATAGGAAATAAAGAAAATAAAGAAAATAAAGAAAATAAAAAGAGATGACAAAAGAAAATAAAAGAAAATAAAGAAATGAAATACTAAAACTAAAGTGTATTCTGTTTGTCTCTTAAAACTACTAGAAACTGACTTGTCAAATCCTATTTTTTACATGATTTAAAAAAACTATTGATTTATATAAAATATAATATATAGAAAAATATAACTAATATGTCTAATATATTATATATGTTAAATATGTTTGAGATGTTTAAAGATTGACATTATAATTAAGAAGTTACAACTTGATTGCAACTCCTTGTAAATTTAAAAATTCATAATAGTTATAATTAGTTAAAATTTTTAAAAATAATTATGGAAACCATCTTTAGATATATCCTATATGTCAAATCTGTTTAATATATCCTATTTATCGATCATGTTAGATATATCATATATATCAGACATGTTAAAATATCAGAATTGTCAGATATGTCAGATTTGTCAAATTTGTCAATCATCTGCATCACATAGGTCCTATCACATTTTATTTGTTCACAATACTTGCTTTCTACCATAATAAAATATCAGTTTTATTAAATATTACTGGATCTCTAAGATAAGATTTAAGCTCATTTCTGTGATTTATTTTTCTTTTTTTAAAAATATGAGTAAGAATATCATTTTCTAAATTATTAGAAGAATGATTAACATCTGCAATATTTTTGTATTTTTTTTCCAAATATCAGTAATAATTAATATTAAAATTGCATCCAATTCACAATTGTATATAAAAACTAAGAAAATCTGCTAAAAGCATTTGTTCTCTACTAGCGAGTATTTGCATCTAAAATCTAAATTAGTTTTAACAATTCTAATTATAATTGGTATTTTATTATTGAAAGAGCATATTATCTTAATATACTTAAGTGAATGTGAAAACAAATAATAGGAATATTTGAAATAAAAGAAAACATTCTAAAGTAAAAATATTGTGAAAAGTTAGGAGAGAAATCTGAAAATGTTTTAAAGTAAAGAATATTGTTAAGCCTTCTAAAAAAGGCAAGAAGGATTCAGAGGAAAAAGAATATATGGACAGCCTAATTAAGATCAAAATTAGTGTAGAAGAGGATTTTACTTCTAGCTTTTTTAAACTACCAGGGTATATACTAATTAACGTTTGAGTGTATTTCAAAAAATGTTTAACTTTTTTTGAAATCAAAAAGTAAGACTTACTTAAATTCTTCTTAAAAAAGTGTAGTCTTAACAGTAAAGCTAATATGCTATATGATAAAATGTGAAAAATTTATTCAAAGGTGAAAAAACTCCTTCTTGCTAACTGTGAAAAATTTACGTGAAGTAGGATATCACTGTATTATAGATATTTTTCACTGTCAAGAGCTTTTGATAAACCAAAGTATAATAAAAGATTATAGAGAAATTGTCTTTATAAATTATGTTTCTCTTTTAACACATACTATTGCACAAATGAAATAAAGGTACAGAACCTTTGTAATACATATGCTGTTAATGAGATATAGTAATTAGTACAAGGGTTTATAAAAATATAAAAAAGGGAAATATCCATGCACAAATATATTTACACCTAAAATAGGTGTTATAATAAAAAGACCTGTAACAGGTTTGTATTTTGTATCTTTATATCCTAGCATTATTATGACCTATAACTTCTCTTCAAAAAAAATCATATTAGAGTAAAAAAAGTCTGATAATGTTCGTAAAGATGGGAATGAGCTTTATAAGATTAAGTTTAAATTCAATAAGCATGACGTTTAAGCTTAATGCGTACATCATAAAAATCAATCTAAGAGAAAAAGATTATATCTAATAGTATTAAAGAATTTATTTAACAAGAAGGTGGAGCTTAAAACATCTGGTCCTATTAGAAAAGAAAAAAGAGATACTTTGAAAAGATGATAAATTTAGCTAAAGAAAGAGGTAAAAGAATTTCAGAAAGCTTAAATTTAGAATACTTATCTATTTGCTTCAATTATAATTATTTGGATTCAAAGCAAAAGCTTTGAAGGTATATATGAACACTTTTTATGGAGAAGTGGAAAATTCAAAATCTCTAATCTTTCTTTATGAATTAGTCTGTTACTATAATGGAAAAATATAACTTTAAACTTATCGTAGAATTTGTCTCAAAAAAAGGTTTAGGATAAAATATAGAGATACTGATTCTTTATATCTCATCTACTCAGATAGGTATTATGAGAAATACGATAAAGCTTTCACTGAAAGTGAAGATCTTTCTAAAGAAGTATACTGGTATTGAATAATCAAAATTACTATAAATATGATGAAAAAGTTATGTAATTAAGTAAATGTTTATCTTAGGATAAAATTAGGATGTCTTATCTAAAGATAATATATGAAGTAATATTATTTTCCATCTGCTTTACTGGTAAAAGAGGACCCTGAACTATACTAATATAACTCACATTTGAGTTTGCGTAGAGTTTATATGTAAACTTTGCCAAAAGTTGCTTATTTTTACAAATTTATATATCCTACATACCCCATTATCTCAATAACCAGTAATTCAATATTAATGCAATTTATACCATTGGATTCGTCTAATCGAGAGGAATCTAATGGTAGTAATATCATCATTTTAGCATTAATATTGACCGAGTTATACCATACAATATAATTTTAATTGTGTATTTGTACTACATTTGTGAGTTCTATTAGTATAGTTCAGGGTCCTGATAAAAGAAGCACTTTGGGATTAGGCATAAAGATGTAGTAAATTTTAAACTGAAAAACCTTTTCATGAAAGGGATAGATACTGTAAAGCAAGGTAAATCCTAACTTTTCAAATTCATTGGAAAAAAGTTTATGAGAGAGGCTATGGATATAAATAATATGCGCTTAATTCATAAAATTATTGAAGATATTCTTAGAGAAGCATGAAACAAGAAATGGGATTTTAATGAATTTAATGTAATGGAAACATTAAAACCTAAGAAAAAAATCTTTGTAATAATCGTTTTATAGGACATATGAGAGAGAGAAATGAGAGGATTCCTGATCCTGGTAAATACTTTAGCTATGTTATTATAAAAGGCTCTCCTCTTTACAATAAAAAAAGTAGTAAGAAGCCATATAAAGTTAGCAATTTTATGGATTATGCAAATACCGCAAAATAGTAAAATATGAAAATAGATATCAATTTTTACTTAGGAATAATAACAGCAATGTATATATGCTTTATCAATGAAGATAATAGATATCAATCACCCTCATCAGATAGAATAATGCGTATTCTTAGAAAAAGGCAAAAACTATCTTGAAAAATATATAGAAAACTTATGATAAACTTTCTAGGTTCTCTTAGTGAGGCCTGGCAATTCTAGCTAAGAAAATATAGTCATTAAGATACTTTGTATAATATTTTTTATATAATTTTTCTTATGCAATAATACTGGCTAACTCCAATTTCTATCTTCGATCTTTTGATCTCTGATCATACAATCTGGCCTCAGATATATCTGAAAATATAAATTACTAGTCTGAATCTATTGATCACTTCCAAAAAATTCCATAGCTTTTTTCTTTTTCAGTTATTTACATTAGAAAAAAAAGATTAAAACTTCTGCTTTAAAAAGGAAATAAAATGCAAGATTATAATGAAAATAATATTAAAGTTTTAACATATGCCCAAAGTAGAAAGGAAGGTATTTAGCTAAAGTTAGTCCTAATACATATTTATGGACATGTAGAAAGTATTATCAATAGGAAGCGCTATATAAAAAAATGAAACAGGTATAACATTTGTTCTAATATATCAGAAAGAACATATCAGTATATATTTAAAGATTATAAAAAATTTCCATTCTGAAAACCTAAATTCTTAAAGGGTTTTACACTTAGATAGATATAATAAAGTGCTAAATTTGGCTTTCAAATATAGTGATAATTAGTATTACTAAATCATGCCTTTTTCATCTTTTTTAGTAAGTAAGAATCAGACAGTAGTATCTTTTAATAGTTGTTATTCATCAACACCTATTAGGTATATATATTTTACTGATAGTTTAGAATATATCTGATCAAATTTTATGGTATTATTAGGACTCATTCCAATTAACTGAGTAGGAATATCATTCATGTTATTAACAATTTTTCTTACAAATTGTTCATATTCTTTACATTATTTACTAGTAGATAAAAGAAACTCTACTACATACTAGTTTTAAAAACTCTTAATTTAAAAAACCCAGCATAATGGTCAACAAAGGCTAAGCTTGCATATCTAAAACGTGCTTTAATCCTTCAAATGCTAACATTATATTTACCTATTAATAAAGTCATAAATCTTAAAAATTCAGTGCCCTTATTACATTATAATTTTTGAGGCCAGTTAAAGAGCTTGTCAGAATTATCATATATACTTTTAAAAGCTTTTGTGACTTCTGCATTATTTTTTGATATTAAAAAACAAAATCTTTATATTTAGTTACGTAGTTTATAACTAATAATATATAGTAAAATATTAGACTATTATCTAGTAAATCTATATTTATATCATCATATGGTATTTCAATCAAATCACATTATTATACAGAATTCAATTTTGTGATTCTAGAATAGTTAGCATAAGATATATACTTAGGTGAAGAACGAAAGATTTGATATATTACTTGAGTATCAAGCTATTTTTTTTACATCAGTAAATAGAAAGGTATATTCAGCTTTTTTACATATAGCTCATAATCCTTTAGTATGTTGGTAAAGACCTTCAGATTGATAATACAGCTTTTGTAAGGCAAGATTTTAGTATAGATCATGAGTTTTCTGAGAATCAATATAATCAAGGTTTTTCTATTCCAAATCTCTTTTATAATCAAGAAAAAAAAGAATGTTATTTCACAGATCCCATCAAAGGCAGAAAAGAATATGTGAAGAATATAAAGCTAAGTTGGAGAAACATAACTATCATCTTCTAGATACATTACAGACAGAGATAGAAAATAATTGCTTGAATGAGAAATGGTTAATTAACTGAAACGTAAATATATCTGATATGAGCAGAAAATCTAAGATCTTAATAAAGAAATAGAGTGTCTTGAGAATGCTTCAGAAGAAGAAATAGCAGAGCTAAGATCTGAAATCTCCAGTATAAAAAATCAGCTATATCAAGCTAAGAAGGATGTGTAAAATAAGGAAAAATATATCTCTAGTTGAGAGAAGTGAGTAGAATCTGAGAAGTAAGTAAAAAAATTGCAATGTTATATCAAAGTTATTTCATCAAGGAAAAATTCACCAATACAGAAGAATTCTTCTGATCAATATAATTCTGATGATAATATGGCAACAATCACAAAACTGGCAAATGTTATAGATAGTTATCTAAATAATCTAAACAATAAATAAAGAAATTTTGATCAGTCAAATAAAAAGAATAATAAAACAGATTCGCTGAAAAGAGAATAATTTGTATGCAGATTTATCTCGTGAGTAATGGAGACAATATAATGCTAAGGCTGAAAGAAATAATCAAATAATATGAAGAAATTTTACTGAAGAAGTAGAACGAAGGGTTATTAGTAACCTTTAAGAGTTACGAACTAATATTCAGAATATGGCAAACAGCAGTGTGTAAAATCTATGTGCACAATGTGCATATATGCACATTAATTTTTTGTGTGCACATATTACACAACATAAAATGTGCATAAATTATTACTAAAAATAGATAAATTATGTACAAAAAAGATAATTTTACATAAGAAAATATTATGATTTTCTTATTTTAGTAATAATTAATCAACTTGTGCACATAAATTTTAACTTAGATTTTATACACTAGCAAACAGAAAGCAAACTTATATTGGTAAATTATTATGAAAAAAGATAGCCCTTCGACTAATAACTCGAAGGCATAAATCTGCAGCTAACTTGACAGAATTTAACTGAATATAATGAACATTCGTTATATCACAAGGTGATAAAATCAAATGCCGATTTTTTTATATTGTATAACATTAGATGTCAATTGATTTAAAGTAATAAAAAAAGATGCAATATTTTTTCAAAAATTAATTTATCAATGTGCGGTTTTTTTTCTCATTTTTTCTTTACATTTAAGTAAAAAAGATCTAAGAAATCTTTGCCATAGTGAAACTTAGATGAAAGCTAAAGTTTAAGGTATTATTAATTAATATATGAATATTAAAATATATTTTATAAATTCTAAAGCATTTTTAAAGTCTACCAATATTTTTTCTTCTATTACTTCATTTTCTTCTTTTTATTCCTCTTTTTTATTTCATTATCTAATATTTCATCATCTAATAAACTATTATTAATATTATCATCTCTTTTTAATCTTTTTATATAAGAGCTTATATTAAAGATAACACCCTTTTTTAAAACAATTTATACTTATTATTTTGTTCTGCAAAACATTTGTAATAAAATCTTGTTTATATATCAACATTACACTTTCTTTTTTATCTAAACATTTAAATTATTGATTATATTAATTTTGATATATATTAGTTTTTATAGCCTAAATTAAACAATATTTAGATCATTTTTATTATAATCCTTAACTTTAGATAGACTATTATTAATATCTATTTACTAATAACTATCATAAAATATAAATTTATTTAATAGATACTTTTATTTTAATTAATTAAAAAATTTTTTTAAAAAAAAAACCAATAATTTTATTTTTTTTACAAGTAAAAAAATTAGATTTTCTTTTCTAGTAAATTATATAAATTATATGCTAATCAATTTCATACCAATCAAAATCAATTTTTATGTGATATTTCAAAAAATATTTTTAACCAATAAAATCGCAAGAAATTAAATATTTATTATGCTATGGCTGTCACTATTAACATGATCTTGAATTACTGATTTTTTGCTAACATTTTTTAAACCTAAATTCAAATTAATCAAATTATAAATTTATAAATTATTAAAAATTAATTCGTTAATAATAAATAATTAATCTTCTTTAACAAAAGAAATATTAATGTTATGAAATATACATAATTCACAGTATATATGTTTTTTCATAATTATGTTTTAATCATGAAAATTCTTTGAGCTATTTTTTTTTGGAATCTCTTTTTATTAATTTTTACTTTTTTTTTAATATATGAAGATTTTTTTTTCTGAGAAAATAAAACTTCATTTACTTCTTCTTCTGTAGAAAATAAATTTTCTTCACTTTCAGATAAAGATTTATCTTCAGTTGATTTATCATTATTTTTATTAGTATTAATACTAATTGTTTATAATATTAAAGAATAGTCATTTTTTACATTTCAAGATAAAAAATAAAAAAAATTCATGTTCAGAATATATTATTCAGATTATCTGCATATTACAATTTACAAATAAATCATGATTTTCAAATAATTTACTTAAAATTATTATTGGTAAAAAAACTGATTATCCTCAAAATTTTCAGTTACTTTTAAAATTTACCATTTTTTCTGATTTTTACAGTTGTATTTTTAAATCTACATTCTCTATATTTATTGATAGCAATTTGCTTAATATATTTAAAAGTATATTTGTGGTCTGCATTATAAGAATATCATTAAGGTAACTGAATGAAATCTAGAGTTTAGCTAGACATCTAAATAGTAAAAGTAAAACTTAGTTAAATTATATTAAAACCTTATTAAAGAATCTATAAAATTCAAAAAAAAGTAAAACTATATCAAAGCTTATAAAAATAGTGAAATTATATTAAACACTTAATAAAAATTTAGCAAAACTAAAGGTTTAGATATTTAGTCAAATCCAAAATAAGTTTAGATAAGCAACCTTAGACATCATAAATTAAGATTTTTAATATTATGAAATCTTATTTTACCATTCATAATATTTTACATAATATCATAATAAAATTGATTTATTATTATCAAATTTTTTAAAAAGATATTTATCATTCTTACTATTAGTAATTTTTTTAGCAACTTCAAGAGTAAGATACCAGTTGAATTTATACTGTGAATATTATAATCTACTACATTTTATACTAGCGAATAAAGAAGACTTTTATTTGAATCTATATATTCAACTATTTGTACATTTTAATTGATCCTCGATATTTAGTTTTTTTGTGAATTTTATTCCTTTTTTTTGTAATATCATATCAAATAAAGGAATTTCAACAATTATTGCTTGTGTTGTCTATATTTGTAAAGCTTTATCAAGCTTTGAAAATTGAACTGACCGTTAACAAAAAGTATTTAAAGTTTGTGAATTAGAATGAAAACTAATTATTTTTCACGTTTTTCCAAATTTTATTGATAGTTGTTCTATCAATATTTAAGTTTTTATATTTTGTATTAAAAAATAAAGCAACATTAACTTGATTTATGTTAGAATTAGCTACTATATTGTTAACATGTGATTTTGGTGAATCACTACAGTTAAACGAGATATTCAAGTATTGTTTCTTTTTAATATACATAGTAATTACTGATCTTTCCCGAAGTTCTTGACTTATAACTGGTATTATTTAAATGTATTTAAACTGTAATTCTCTAAGACTTTTAGGTTTACAAAGATTCACAACAGCTGAAGTTATCACGAAGGCTTATATATCACTTTAATTCACGAAAGTTTATAATATCACTTAGATAGTAGCTTATTGCTAAGACTTATGCATCACACAGACTTGTAGATTTCACTCAGATTGCAGCTTATTGCTAAGACTTATGCATCACACAGACTTGTAAATTTCACTCAGATTACAGCTTGTTGTTAAAACTTATGCATCATACAGACTTGTAGATTTTATTCAGATGTTAAATATCACGCTATCATATATAGATCACACAACAATAAATGATAAAACAGTTTATTGATAATAAAATAAATAAATAAAGATTAAAGAATTATTACACAAAGCTGAGTAAA